TTCAAAAGCCATACAATTGAGGATTTAAAGCTTATCTTTGCATTAAAGATAAAAAGGCTTGTGATTAAAGGGTTGCTGAGGTTAAAGTCAGTCTTCTTGATGACATAGTCACCTTGAAGTGCTCTAGTTTAACAGCTCTTTTGTTGCAAAGGAGTTTAGTTTCATTGCTGCAAGAGCACAAGCGCTTTATGCCTCGTCTTTCTTCACTCCATGATCCAAGAAGCTGAGTTATTTCAAATGGATGTTTACTACAGTAAAGGCTTTCACAACATGAATTGTTTGATTTGCTTCTGTTCAGTCAGCCAGGAGATTTACAATTGGCATCTGCAGTCCAGTTTAGAAATGATAAACTTCTTTTACAGCTTGCTGAAATGAGATGTTAAACAGCAGCAGAGCAGGTGTGAGATGAGATGCTAGCCTTTATAGCGACAAATGGTTAGAAAAAAGAGAGTCCAGTGGATGGGAGAGTCACTCTGCTTCTCCTTTGTGTCATTCTGAGATGACAGCCTGTCAGGCCATACCTTGTTCTTGCTGCAGGCTATTTTATGGAGGTGATTTAATTCCAAATAATAGCTCTCTGTCAAGGAAACTACGGCTGTGATTTTATGTTTCACTGCTGGCTTTTATTTTCATTAAAACTGAACCCTTTGGATAGTAAAGTTTTATAGCATGACATTACTAAATTATCGAAAGTGTCCATTAATCTAGATTTTTCTTTATGAAATTATGTTCCTGGCTGCAGACAGATGATCATATTTAATGCTGCAGATAAACTTAAACTTTAAGAATGAGAGTATTTTATTTGTAGCTGTACATGAGGTAAGACCCAATGGATTAGATGATCACATTCAGTCACACTTTAGATGTTTGGATACTGACCTTCACAACCTGACTTAGGAGACAGGTATATCCATCAGAACACTCTTACTGCTCATACAAGGCATGCCAGTAAGTGCAGACTAACATAGTTTAATATGCTAAATGCCAGTGGATTAAAAAATATGATTGCAACTACAGAAACATATTTTTTTCACAGGAAAACATATTGAAAGATTAGCAGATGTCTATGAATGGTGTTTGTTTTTTATTTTTATGTCACTTAAATTAAGACAGGCTCAGTAACATGTTATTTATTCTGCTTTTTAGAGCTTTATTTCAAAGCACAAGCAATGCATTTCAGTACATTGATCCTACAAAGCACATTTGGCATCTTCAGGCATCTCATCACTGCACTTTGCAGTCTGTATAATTTTGGGTAAAGCCACTGCAGCCAACAGGATGACATCACCTCCTCATATCACTGCAGGACTACTCTTGCTGACCATTCATCTGATTAATAGACTAATGTGACTTGGCTCTAATATTTGCACCTTTTTTGTGCCTGGGTGTTAACCTAACAGATGCTTTCTTAGTATGGTGGACTGCTGACTGGACACATGATGTCATGGCAACATTCATCATGGAGAGAATCACAGCATTACACAAACTTAAAGCATTGCATTTTACATACAGATTCAAACATCATCAAATTAGAACCTGCAAAAGAATATAGGAGTTTAGTCAAAAAGACCAGGGACATAGCGACATACAGTAGAAGTCCTCCATCAGTTCCTAAGCAGTCTCGATTCAGTTGAGGGTATGCAGAACGCAGCATAGTACTAGATCCCCACCCATTGGTCACCTCCAAAACAAGCGCATTTCTAACTAATTTTCCCCGATCAGTGATCCATCTCAGAAGTCGACCCTGGAAATGGATACATCCATAGTCATAAATGCGGCAAGAGAGACACCAGGGACCATACTCAAAAAATTACAGTGAGCCAGGACTAGTAATATTAAATCCTAACAGATACTGCTTACTAAGTATAAGGTTAAATACAGTACGATAGTATTCATGCTAGACAGTGTCTTGCCCACAGCCATAATAAAATAAATTAAGAAAAACACATTGAAGGTGATAGTTTCAATGCAGCATTTGATGCTATCTTAGACTCAATTAGCTTTGTTCAAAATGTGTACAGTCCCATGCATTATCATCTTCATACTTTGGACCATGTGCTCACATAGGGCAATTATTGTGAAAAAATGACAATACTTCATTACAACTAGTGTTGCACGGACGCTAATACCGGTATTGGGCAGGGCCCCGATATTGCACTAAAATGGTGGTATCAGCGAGTACCAACAAATAGGGCACCAATACCATTTTGATAGCCAAAAGTTTATTCAACTATCTTCACCCATTCCAGGTAGGCAATAAATAGTTCTTCTGGATTCACTTTATATTAGTCTTTTTCCTGCTTAACAAAGGTAGGCAGCAGCTTAACAAAGCCATGATGGCAATTATTTTAAATCCAGGTAGCATGCAGTTCTTCATATACACACACACACACACACATCAATTTCAAACAGATGTTATTGGTATGGTATCCTTATCGGCCGATAACGCACAGCCAAGTATCAAGTATTGGGGCCAAAAAAGGGCATTGGTGCAACACTAATTACAACCCTGTTGTATCTGAAAACTTTAGTAACCTTTAAGTACTTTTTAACAGAGTTCTGGCAGCCCTAATGATGGTTTCCTTTTAGCAGATTGTTTAGATAATCCTAACCCTACCCAAACATGTAATGCACTAATAAAGTTCAGTGAAACTATCATATTTTTTTAATCTCATTTGTATCACAGAACAATAACCATCTAATACAATTCCCTTCAGAAATGGATGATTTTTGTTTATGGCCTTACTTGTTTTCTGCACTCTGCTATAGACAGGGTAGCTCCTTTGAAAAAGAAGGATTTTATTAATAGGAGGCTGGTTACTTGGGTTTAATTAGACCTAGACATTTTGAAGCATATTACTTGGAAACTGTAGAGTAAACGGTGCTCTACAGTACCTGCCTAAAGAAATCTGGAAACACAGTCTTCTATTGTATAAATAAGAAGAGCAGCATATTTTTCTTCATTGATTACTTTTTAGTACAGTTGCTGAACTCACACTGAGCCATACCTCCATTTAACCCCCCCGCTCTCAGCAGTAATGATTGTTATGGCATTCTTTCTTAATAACATTAAATCTGTCAAAAATCAGATCATTTGCACCTCTCTCTCTATGATGTGTTCATCTCTCAAAGTTGAGTGAGTACTCACCATAATGCCTTGCTTTAAAGAGCTTTAGTTTTTAAAGGTTTTAAAGTTCATCATAGCACTGAAAAGCAGCACTGGGAGAATTCACTAATTACATTCTTATGGCCTCAGATAATGGACTTTCATCTGTAGCTTTCTGCAGCCACAGTTCTGATGAAAACCAGAGAGATCTTATGTCTTCTATCTTACCCTCCTTTTATTGGCGTTGCATTATATCCAGAATAAGATTTAAAACCAGCTTTTTAAATGACCAGCCTCCGTTTTATATCAAAGATCTGATTGTTCCTTAGTTATCAGGCCCCTCTGCTGTGCAACCAACTACCAGTTTTAGTCCATGAGAAAGACACCCTGTCAACTTTTAAGACTAGGCTTAGAACTTTCCTTTCTGATAAAACTTATTGATAGATTAGCTAAATTATTCTATAGTTATTCTGCTATAGGCCTAGACTTCTGGAAGACATAGGGACATCTTTAATCAATATATTTCATCCTATTCTGGAGCATTTGTTAGTTCAACCTCTAACTTCATGTGCTCTCTCTCATCCCTTTGAGATAAAAACTGGCTCAGAGCTTGTTTGGAGCTTGTTAAGCATTACCGTTTCTAAAATAGAAAGAATTTATGGATCAGTAATTCGTTTTTGCTTTGTATATATTTGCTTCTCTCTCCTTGAAAGCCAATCCGGCGTCAGGAGAAGGTCGCTCACACTAATCTTGGTTCTACTGGTTTTGGTTCTGCTGTCTTTTTTCCTTTTAAGAAGATGTTTTTCTTCTACGCTGTTGCTACATGGATGTGTAGTTTAAGGAATTGCTGTTGGGTCAACAATAAAATGCAAGCAAATATTGTCGCCACAAGCTCATCAAGGAAGAGTGTGTTCTGCAAGTCAATGACTTGATGGAACCCAAATGGTTTTCCTTTGATAAAAACTCTTTATCAATCTGATTGGCTAGGATCTGATTGAAATGTCTCTATAGAGTGCCTTGAGATGAAATGTGTTGTAAATTGGAACTATATAAAAAGTTAAATTAAATTAATTGCTATGCTGTTTTGTCTTTCCTGTTTGTTTGCTTAATTGTTTTTTTTTTTTTTTATACACAAACTACTGAGATTCTAGTTGAAACCAAACTCTTGTGTTTTGTAAATGGATACGCATGCTTTTTCTGTGGGTTTTGTTTGTCACTGTGTGCGGCCCATCATGTTATACTTGTGATAGCATATTTTTGCAGCACATCAGGTGTTTGGTATCTTCCCTTTGTCTTTTTTTCTCTAATATAATTTATCTAAAGGACCCAAAAACATATTCGTTAGGATACTACTGAAAGCATTGAACTACAACACTACCATCTGATGGCCAAGACAAAGAATTGCAACTTCCTCATTATTTCTTTTTTTTTTACTCCGAACCATTAAAAATCCTGGATCCTGACACTAGAGAAGATAATGACATAATATATGCAAGTGTGTATGTTTTTATGTCTTTTTACTTTCTCTAATTGTAGACAGAGTAGTTATCTTTGTTTATTTTCTGATTGTTTTTAAACACATCCTTTACTGCTGCATCAATGCCAGGTTTCACTGCAGCAACTCTGCAAACCTTGCTGCAGTGAGCCCCTCTTTATGAAGCTTCACTGACTTTATTGTATTGTGTCTTTGTGTAAGCAATATGATTTCATCTTTGTCAATGTGTTTGTGTCTGACTGACGTTTCATTAAACCATGAGCATACATATAGGGTTTTAAAGAGTGTGAAGTAACACTAGGCTGTTCTCATGTAATCTTTTTGCCAAAGCACTGCTGCCTCTGTTTAATCTATTTGAAGCAACGCTGGGACACATAATCATTAGCTTTTCCTGCTTGTTTTGTAGAGAACACAAATGATACAAGTAAAATGGAAGAGAAAAAAAATCAGTTCCCTGCAGATAAGGATCACATTACAGAGTAACAGCAGAATGTAAATTTACTATTTTGCGGTAGGAATTTAAGCTCTGTAATTTTATAGTAATGATATCTAAACCTTTCATTATTTTATATTTAGTTGTCCATTTTATCTATGAATGTCAAGATTTAACATTTATTTTTAATAGATTCATAACTTGCTTTTTTTTTCTTTTTTTTTCTTTTTTTACCAAGGTCCTTTCTTTCCTCTTAGCACCATCTACCTCTTACTGTCGATCTTACTGTATGGAGTGCTTTGGTGGCGCAGTGGTTAGCGCACATGACCCATATATATGTGGGGGCTTTAGTCCTAGGCATGGCCGACCCGGGTTTGAATCTGACCTGCGGTCCTTTGCCACATGTCTCCCCCTTTCTAGTCAGCCTACTGTCCAAAAAAAACAGTCATCAGTTCTGTCTTACTTAATATAATTAGACCACCCCAGTATTTTCTTTTTGTTATATTTTTAGTATTTTGGAGGTAATAAATCTTTGAAACAGGAAATTGAAAGAAAAAAAAAAGGTGCTTTAATAATATTTTCAAAGGTTAGATGACAACACTTAAAGATAAAAAAAGAAAAATGTTCTATAAATCTCATTCTCTCTTCTGGTGTTTATCAGACGTGTAATCACCACTGTCTTTGAAATGAAAACATATAGTTTTAGTTAATGTCAGGTTATGGGTCATGTTTTAAAGAATGTATAAATACCTGATTCCAATTGTAGCATTTGCTTGTTTTCTTTTCTTCAGGTCTCAGTCTGGTGGTGGGTTTGGTTTTATACATTTCAAGCATTAATGATGAAGTGATGAACCGACCAAGAGAGGCAGAGCAGTTCTTTCACTACCACTATGGCTGGTCCTTTGCTTTTGCTGCTTCATCCTTTCTACTTAAAGAGGTAATTAAAGCAAAATGCATGTACACACACACAAAGGGGAATACACACCTTCTAGTGCACATGCAGTTATGATACTTGCTTGCTTCTCCTGCATGTAGATAAGCATCTAACAGAAGCATTTGATGTTTCATAGAAACTTTCCTTCTTGATTTCTCAGCAAACTGCCACTGCTGCACACACTCTGATGGAAAACTGAGGTTAACATACAAAGCCTTTTTAGCCTTTTTAGATGCTTAGGTTTTAAAAAGTCAGGATGCTCACATCAACACACAGATTAAACAAATATAGTTTAGGTAAACATACATTTTCAAGACGTGACACGCACGCACACATACTAGACATATTCAGCTAAACACACGTTTGAAAGTGTCTGCGTAGGAGCTCGTCATTCTGCTCGCATCAATATTCATAAATGTTAATAGCTTGAATACTTGAGGGCAACAGCTCTGTCGCAGCAGAGCTTTATATGCATCAGAAAATTCCTCGCTGGCGGAGGCGGAGTTCTCTGCTACACTCATTCTTTAATCCTTCAGTCTTTTCATTTTTAAATCTTCTCTCTACCTCCTTCTCCATCATCTCTTTTTCATCTTGCCTATCTTCTTCTTAACAGTCTAGTCTTGTTTTCCCATGTCCTTTACTTTTATCTCGTCCTGCCTGTTTTTTTATCTTCAGGTTTTTGTATCTTTTCTTTGTTTCTTTTCCTCTTTTCTCATCCTTCCCTCTTCCTTCTTATGCCTTAGGTTAACCTTCTGTCACCAAGATGTTGATTTTCTTATTTATTTTTTTCACTCATATTCCACCAATTTCTTCCCTGACAGCTCAATTTTTCGCTTTGGTACCTCTTCCCATTTTTCCACCTCTCTTGATTTTCAAGGTCTGTTGTAAATACTTAGTTTTTGATTAACTATTTCCTAAATCTTCTACAACAGTTGTTATTTTCTAAAGCTTTTAAACCCTTGTACCTTATGATAACCTTCAAATATTCTTATATACTCTTTACACATTTCCTCTTCTGTGTTTTCCTGTCATATTTTCATTGAAGAAAATTTATAATTTATACATTGGAAGTTTTCATCATTTTTACACACGTTTCTTCTCTAAAGCATGCTCACTTTAATCAGCATGCTAGTTTGTTCGTGGTTTTTGTAGTCATGCTATGAATGAATAGAGAATGAGCTGAGGAATCTCAGCGAAAGCCCTAGTGAAAACATGAATACATTTCAGGGTAATTGCTCATTCCACCCTGCAGCAGTTTTGAGGCCTTTTTGTCAACTCTTACCAAAATAATGAATGATTTATTAGTCTTTTCCCCTCCTGATAGCTTTGTAAAATGCTGTGATTTATGCAAAGGATGATTTGAGTTTTGTTGCTTGTTTTCATTCCCTTTGGCCTTACAGATGTTATATTGCAATGAGACAAAAGGCAGAGCCCCTGTACTCTCTTCTTTTTGGTTTTCCATTGCCACTCTCTTACATTCATCAGCTCAAATTCCCTGACGGATTTTATAGCAGCCTTATTGCTAATTACAATAACGAAATGTCTGTCATTAGGTTGAGATCAGTGCTTATCTTACACATTCCAATAGAAGAATTACATCAATCCTAATGAAATATGGTTGTATTTTCCCTGGTTCTGAACAAAAGAATAATGTCTAATTTCATATTATTATTATTTTTGTCCAGTTTCTGTAGTTGTGATGAATAAATTATTGAATCTGAATTAGTTCTTCACTGATTTTAACTTGGTATTAAGTTTGATTTTTACGGATTTCTAAATATAAATAAATCTTTCTGGAAAATTTCAGCTAACCCTTAAGCTTAAATTTGACAAAGAAGTTTAAGTTCACACTATATTTAATGAATTGTGTTAGTGCCGGAGAATCCCTGTAAAGTACAAAAAATTTAAAATGTCAGCATAATTTGACTTCATTTATTAATTAGATGATTTCTGAAAGTAAGGGTTTCACCAAACTTAATTTAGGTTTACTTGAGTAAAAGTGACTGGATGCCCCAGTCTTCAGATGTTTTTTTTTATTCTTAGTATGTGTAAAAAATGTATCTTGTTTGATAGCTTCTAATGTGTTTATTCTGTGTGTATCAGAGTTAGAAAATGTTTGTTAAAAAGGATGACCTATTATTATTATAGCAGTAAACAAGTAGATTGAATTTCAATACCCTGGGTCGCCTAAACTCAAACGTTCTTATGCACCTGATTTGCTAAAGTAAATGTCGTTGAATAATCTGATGCATCAAAAATCACATTTTATTCTATGAAAATATATTATTTTTGTGCTAATCAAAAGAAGAAAAAAAATATATATAAACAAAGTTGGTCTGCATCAAATTATACATTATATCGCTTCTTATTCTATCTTTTAATAAAATGGCTGTTTTAAACTGAGGTCCTTTTTTTTAATGAATTCATTTCATAATTTAAGCTTTAGTTAAAACCATAATTGGACCCTAGACCAATCTTTTTAATTTGATTTAGCGCCTTAAGGGAATTATTTAAGTGTTAGAACTATTCTAAACACTAAATGGTATTGACTTGAGGTTTTTTCTTTTCATTTGAAGCACTCAAACTGCTTCCATAATATGAACTCAGTTAAACTCATAAAATTCACTCCCTGATTTGCAGTATCAGTGTACAGCATGATGTGTGGCCCCCAATTAAAAGCAGGCATCTGGTGGGAGAAAGTTGAATTGAAAGCACAACCTTCTAATTGCCATCTGACTGCTCCTCCCACTGAGGCAGAATAAATTCATGTCAGCAACTAAATTACTGATTGAAATTCAGCTGAAAATGGTCGGAAATAAGAAGGGGTCTAATGTTAAACTCCATTCTTTCCATTAGTTGGAGAATTATTAACTTTTTTTTTTTCTTTTTTTTACCAGAAAACATGTAATGGATAAACTTGGGAGTGTTGGCTTAGTGGTTAGAGAAGTGCGCTTTTGCTCAGTTAAAGGTTGCGAGTATCCACTTCTATCCCTACAGCCCGCACTCTGGGTCTCTTAACATATAAACACTGCTCCCCGGGTGCCGCACAATGGCAGCCCACTGCTCCCCAAGGGGATGGGTTGAATGCAGAGATAAATTTCTCAATCAATAAAGTTCAATTATTATTATCATTATTATTAATATTAACTTAAGAACAGCCCACTTTTAAGTTCAGGTCAATGTATTTTAAAAAATATCTCTCATTGTTTTTATAGTGTTTCAGTTTTTTTCTTTGCCCAATAACCATTGACATGGAAGAAATGGTGGTTTGTGATTTGGTAGATTTTAGTTTAAAAGAAAAAACAAACAATCAAAAAACGTCTAAAATCTTTATTTGGGAAGAGATTAAAAATGCCTGTGTGTGTGTGTCATTAATTTAAAGCTAAAAACAACACTAACAATTTTAGCCTACATCTGTAGAGGATATATAAAACTTTGTATATAACATAACCTCATCTGTCTCCATACCAGGGTGCAGGAGTGATGTCTGTCTACCTCTTTATGAAGCGTTACGCAGAGGAGGAGCTCTACCGCCCCCACCCTGCGCTCTACCGCCCCCGCATGTCTGATTGCAGCGACTACAGTGGCCAGTACCTTCATCCAGACTCCTGGGCTCCACCGCAGCGGGGCCGAAGTCCCTCTGATGTGTCTTCTGATATCTCCATCCAGCTCAACCAAACCCCACCACAGCAGCAAACTCTAACACGAGGCAGTAGCTCCCAGGCAACACCTTCTTCATCTGGGCCTTCATCGGCTGCCAGCTACCAGCTTCATCCTGCGTCTTCCTCCTCTACTTCCTCCTCATATCCACACCACCTTCACCCAGGTGCCACCTCTACCCTATCCAGGGTGCCACATGCTCTCGCCCACTCCCAGTCCCATTCCCATCCGAGTGGGCCCCCACCTCAGTCCCTGCCCATGGTAGCACCTCCCTCTGCCGTGCCTCCTCCACACTACCACACACACACACGAATGAGTGCCTCCCCGTGCTAAGCTAAGGGAGCATGGAAGGGACGGGGTGGGGGGTGATTGAAAATACAGCTGGGTAAGGGGGAGTAAGTTGCCTGTTCTCCATGTGCTCTTAAAGCTCACACCAGATGCACACAGACATTAATCCTGTACCCTTAAGGTGTGTGGGAGGATGGATACAACGGAGTAGCCGAAAGAAGGAGGTTCAAGGAGCTGAAAACAAAGAGGGGAGAGGAGGAAAGAGGAGAAGCAGGTGGGCGAAGGGATGACTCACCATAATGCTGAGCCCAAGATGAAGACAGACACTTGACAAAATTTTGACACGCTGGGAGGAAACGTACAACTGGAGGAGTGAGGAATACGATGATAAGTAGCAACAAAGCCACTTGTGGGGTTTTCTCAAGATCATTAAGGCCATGATACAAAGGCAACTCTGAGAAGCTGAAAAAGAATTTACACAATGCTGTTTTATGTGAAAACAAACATTT